GGGGGGTGGCGTTCCAGAAGCCGGGAAGGGGCGGTGGGCCGGACAGGGAAGGAGAGAGAAGCCTCAGGCTGCGGCACAATCTGGTTGGGGCCACCCCAGGCACAGGGGTGGCTGCGTGGGTTCTCTGTGGGTTGAAGTAGGACTGGATGGGTGCTCCAGGCTCTAATGTCATAAAGGGCTCCAGAGTTCATGGGGCAAATCCCCATCGTTCCAGCTGAGTCCACCGGGGCCCCTAGAGGGGGAAGGAACTTGCCAAATTGCATAGTGAGATTCCTGAATCCTGTAGGCATAAGAGTGTTTCTGCCCCCGGTGTGTTTCCCCTGCCCCCGTTGCTGCCACCCATTTCCCACAGCTTCCTGCTGCACTCCAAGTTCTAGGTGTTGGGCATTGGATCCTCCCAGCTAGCCTGCTAGCCTTGTCTGGGGTGCAGAGGTGAGGGTGGCCTAGGAGGTACCATCCGGGATCTGGAGTAGGTGGTACTCAGGAGGAAACCCGCTGCCCGCTGACCTTCCTGTGCCCCTGCAGCTCCGCCATCGACAAGCGGTCAGGGGAGAAGGTGGCCATCAAGAAGCTGAGCAGGCCTTTCCAGTCTGAGATCTTCGCTAAGCGGGCTTATCGAGAGCTCCTGCTGCTGAAGCACATGCAGCATGAGAACGTAGGCTGAACCTGGGTGGTGGGAAGGCAGGGAGGGAGGCCCCAGACGGCCGGCCACGGCCCTGCAGTGACCCTGATAACAACAATAATATATACTTATTGAGCACTAACTGCCCTCTATGTACGTTGTAACATCTTTGCATGAATTGACTAATATTATCCTTTCCATAAGGAGATAAATATTAGTGCCCCGGTGTCACAGATGGGGGAGTTGAAGCATAGAAAGACTCCTGGTTATGTGGTTCATCAAGAGCAGAGCTGGGATTTGGATCTAGCCAACCAGACTGAGTACATGACCATTAGGCTATCCGGTCTGATAGAAACAACCAGAAAAGCCAATGATCCAGCTCTGGACCTGGCAACAGGGCTTCCCTCCAGGATACCTAGATTGGAGGGCGAATAAAATAGTGATTGCCAAGGATTTTGTACATTTTAAGTCCCATCCCTTTCAGCACACCCCTCCTCTGTGGCCTTCAGTCAGGGGTGATCTTGCCTCTGACTGAACTATCCCCATGGCAGGCAAGGACAGATGTGGCTGGAGATCCAAGGTCGAGATCAGGAGCCTGCTGGTTAAGACATCTTTCCCCCTTCCCTCCTTTTCTTCTTTTAACCCTCGTGGTTTTAAGTCGAGTGAGTTTGTGCCACTTGACCTGAACACCAGGTGTGGAAGCAACCACTTTGTCTTCTCCCTACCTCCCCCTTTCCCCAGCCTGACTCTCCATTATAGTTTAACACAGGCTATCTCCCAGATTGGGGGGGATTTGCCCCTTTTACTGCTTCCAAGCATTTTGGGGACCTGCTTCTTGCTCGAGGTGGTATAGCGGGACAGGATGGGCGCTCTTTAGACTGGGGCCCAGACAGAGTGGAGAGGAGGGGCAATGACTTCCAGTCCTCACTGGCAACTTCCTTCCCAGGTCATTGGGCTCCTGGATGTCTTCACCCCAGCCTCCTCCCTGCGCAACTTCCATGACTTGTGAGTAAGGCTGCGCTGAGTTCTGGGCAATTGCAGGTCTTGCTTGCCGCTCAGCAGTAAGTTGGGGGAATATCCTGATGGTTTTTCCTGGGTGGAGGGCTTGCTGCCCTGGCAGTCTCTGTGCCTGTGGGCTGTCAAGGTGAGGTTCTCTCTGGAGAGGTAGCATCAGCCCAGAGTGGAAGAAAAGCAGGCAGAATGGGGGGGGGGGTTGTGTGGTACCTGCCTGGTAGGGAGCTGTCTGCACAGTTACTTTGCTTATTACCCAGTTTTACCACCACAAAGGCATCCCTGCCAATCCCCACAGGGTTTGCACTGTCTCCCTTTACCTTTCCCCCTGGGGACCTAGGTGTAGCTCTGGACCATAAGCCTTTTTCTAGCTTGAAGTGAGGATCAGGTACCCTTGGCTGCCTCTGGGGTATTTGCCAGTTATACAGAATCAGGACATTTAATCGTTGAGTGTCTGGCTTTGCTATTGCACTGTCTGAATGAGACGCGACAGATTGACAATATTGTGATGTTTAGGATGTGAGTGAAGGCCAACAGCTGGCTCGGCCCAGCTTCGAGTCCAGACTCAATTCTACAAGCAGCCACAAGTCCATGGAGGTTTGGAGCAGGGCAGTGATGTGGTCAGATGCAATTTGAGGGATGCTCAAGCAGCAGGGAGTACCTCCAGGGAGGAGGGAAGACATGGAGGCCAGTGGAACAGACCTGGATCTACAGTCCAAGGGAAGGGGATGTTGGTGGCAGACCTGACACCTGTTTGGGAGGCAGCACTAAAAAATATTGTGTCTTTTGGGATGCAGGGGCTGAGGAGGTGTAGGTAGGGAGATGCTTGGGCTCCTGCTTGGAATACAAGGCAGAGGAAGAACAGACCTTGGGGAAAAGATAATGAACTTCACTTTGGACACTTCACTTTTATAGAACCTTGAACTTTCAAGTGTTTAATCAGAGTTGCAAATAAATATGAACCTCAGGAGAGGTTCAGGGTTAATGATATGGATTGGATTAGTGATACAGATTTGGTTTGGAATAATCACCTTTGGATGGTAGTTGAAGCCCAAGAACAGGTATAAAACATGATATGATAATGTGATTCTGAACCACATTAGAGGGAAGGTAGAAAAGGATGAGCAAATCAAAATAAAGCTGATCAGCTGGGCATAGTGGTGCACACCTATAATCCCAGCAGTTTGGGAGGCTGAGGAAGGAGGATCTTGACTTCAAAGCCAGCCTCAGCAATTTAGTGAGGCCTTAGCAACTTAGTGAGACCCATATATATATATATATATATATATATATATAACTGATTAGAGAAAGAGGGGAGTTGGCAGAGAATTTTCAAGGAGTATTGGACTTTGTGAAAGGAAAAACAGGAAGAAAAGGATCCTGGTGACTTTGTGGGGTGGTCGATGAATAATGTGGCTATAGGACAGGAACAGAAGCCAGGTTGTCAGGGAATGGAGTGTGAATGCAGAGTCAGGGAGTATGGAACACCCTTCTAGAAGTTTGGTGGCAAGAGAGGAAGAAGTAGTGGTCACTTAAAGAAGCAAAGTTGCCAGGCATTGATGGCACACGCCTGTAATCCCAGCAGTTTGGGAGGCTGAGGCAGTAGGATTGTGAGTTCAAAGCCAGCCTCAGCAACAGCAAGGCGCTAAGCAACTCAGCGAGACCCTGTCTCTAATAAAATATAAAAAAGGTCTGGGGATGTGGCTTGGTGGCTTAGCACCCCTGGATTCAATCCCTGGTACCAAAAAAGAAAAAGAAAAAAAAAAGCAGTAAAGTTGCAAAACTTAAGCAACGTTTTGAGCCAGAAGAAAGGACCAGGGTTCATGCAGAAGTGAAGGACATAGCAGAGGGATTGTGTGTGGAACAAGGTCCTAGAGAGGAGGTGGTATGGTCAGGCAGAAGGTGGCTTCAAGAATTTAGGGACCCTTGGAGATGGTATCCACTATGTCTGGTTTTAAAAAATATTTGTATGGTAATCTGTTGTCTTTTGTTCTGGAATTTTGCTGTTACTACCTTGAGTAACAGTTACATTTTGCTGACCACGACTTGTTTTGTAATCCCACAAGAGGGTGCAACACCCCAGCCACCTTCTTCTTCCACCTTCCTGAAAATTGTTGTATTGTTTCCTTCTTGGAAGGGCAGACAATTGTTAATGGTGCCAGCTCAGCTGGGCATGAACCCCTGAGAGAGAAGACATTTGGACAGAAACAGAAGGAAATACTGGCAGATGCTTCTAGCTCCCAGCTGAGGTTTGCTGTGGAGTGTGAAGGAGGCAAGGAGAGGGCACCTTTGAAGAGCGGGAACACAGCTCCACTTAGTTTTCCTGAGCAGGCTCCAAAGCCATGTTTACCCTGAGCTCTGCCAACTGGGCAGCCTGCCACAGGGACGGTGGAAGCCAGGAGCCCTGAGGCCCATATGAGCCTGATTCTTCTTACACCTTCTTGCCTGAGATCCTCTCTAAGGCTCTGTTCTGTCCCCACCACTGTGCCCCACCTCTGAGCCAAGACCTGGGTCTGGGTGGGGGCTGGAGCTGTGCCAAGAAGTCCTCGTGCCTTCCAGCTACCTGGTGATGCCCTTCATGCAGACAGACCTGCAGAAGATCATGGGGATGGAGTTCAGTGAGGAGAAGATCCAGTATCTGGTGTATCAGATGCTCAAAGGTCTTAAGGTGGGTGGGGGCTATGAGGATGGCAGAGAGGGTTCCTTGGTGTTGAGACCCAAGGTTCAGGGAGGGCTGGAGGGAGCGCATCCTAATGGGTGAAGGAGGTTACGGGGCGGCCTGCTGAGCTGGCTTGGAAACTGGAGTGCAAGACTCACCCTTCTCTCTCTCTCCTACTCAGTACATCCACTCGGCTGGGGTTGTCCACAGGGTGAGTGCTTTCTCTGCTTTGGTCCTCAGGGGTCCCTGACCCACTCCTGGAAGAGTGGGGTCCTCTAGCAACTAGGGAGTTGGGAGAGTTGGGGAGAGAGGAGGATTTTCAGGAACACGGAATATGGAAGAATTGTTGTATTGTGGAGAATTTTGTGGGGGAATTGTTACAAAGTGAGCCCTGAGCTGGGGTGTCAGGCTTCAGGAATCAATCAGGAGACTGTAGAGCTGGATGGGTCCCTAGATAACACTGAGTGTAACCCTCATTTGACACACGAGGAAATAGTCCAGAGAGGGCAAGGGGCCTGGCTAAGGCCACCGTGCTGGGGGTGGCAGAGCCAGAAGGAGCTCTGTCTCTGTCTCTCAGCCCAGTGCTCACTCTGTGTCCTCCCACCCAGGACCTGAAGCCAGGCAACCTGGCCGTGAACGAGGACTGCGAGCTGAAGGTGAGTGGGCTGAGGACAGGCCCAGTCCGGGTTGGGGTGGGCCCCTTCTTGCAGGAGCTCCTCAGAGCTGCTCCAGAGCGCCTGCTCTGCCAGCTCCTTCTTCCTGTGTCCCTTGAGCCTTAGATCCTGGATTTTGGGCTGGCACGGCCTGCGGATACTGAGATGACTGGCTACGTGGTGACCCGTTGGTACCGGGCCCCTGAAGTGATCCTCAGCTGGATGCATTATAACCAGACTGGTCAGTTGTCGGCTGCTGGGGTGGAGGCTGGGGCTGGCCTGCTCTGGCGGCTTCCCTGAGGTCATCTGGTTACTCTGTGTGACTGATCGCAGGGTCTGGTCAGACGGGCCAGGTGACACTTCCTTCCTCCCTCTGCAGTGGACATTTGGTCTGTCGGCTGCATCATGGCTGAAATGCTGACCGGGAAAACTCTGTTCAAGGGGAAAGACTGTATCCTTTCCTGGAAACACCAGACTGCAACCGGGGACCATTCCTTCAGGACACACTTTATTTAAATAACTCTGTCTTTCTTAGTGCAAAAGTAATACCCACGGTCTGTAGAAGAATTTTAAAATGCAGACGAGCAGAACAATGGAAACGAGACCCTTAAATTCCACTACCACGTAGAGGATGCACTCCCCACACCAATGGAGATTTGCAGGCACAGGGGACATGGAGTCTGTCCTGCTCAGCTGGCAGTGCCAGGGTCGGGGGAGAAGATAAGGAAATAAGGGTGGCTGAGAGGGATGAGGCCTAGGAGGTCCATGTGCTCTGGCAGCGTTTTTCAGGAGGGACCCCTCCTTCTTGGCCTGGCCCGTGGCCTGGCCCGTCGGGAAGACCTCTGGAGACAGTCTGAAGGCTGAGCCTCCTGTCCTGAGAGCAGGAAGTGGTCAGGCAGGTCTGGAGCCTGCACCATGGCCACAGAGAGGGTGGGCTCTGACACATCAGCCGAGAGTGAGGGGGCACCTTAACCACTGCCAAGACCTGGACCAGTTGACCCAGATCCTGAAAGTGACTGGGGTGCCAGGCGCAGAGTTTGTGCAGAAGCTGAATGACAAAGCGGTGGGTAGCAAATGGCCTGAGTGGGCCTAGGCTATGGGCTTGGCTAACCTCAGGGCCAGGTGGGTGGGGGGGCCTTTGGAATGGGGGCTCACCTGTGTCTGCCCATAACGTCCCTCTTCCCAGCCTAAACCTTCAACCCTGCTCTGGGACTTTTCTGAAATCCCCGCTTGGTACTCTGAGGCCTGAGGAATCCCATGCTTTTCTATCTTCTAGGCCAAATCCTACATCCAGGCCCTGCCACAGAGCCCCAAGAAGGACTTCACTCAGCTCTTTCCACGCGCCAGTCCTCAGGGTGAGTCTTGGGCTTGGTCCCCAGGGGCCTCCCAGTCCCTCCTGGCAGGCGGGCTCCCCCAGGCCTGGGGTGGGAGGCTCACGGCTGTTCTGTAGCCACAGACCTGCTGGAGAAGATGCTGGAACTGGACGTGGACAAGCGTCTGACGGCCTCACAGGCCCTGGCCCACCCCTTCTTTGAACCTTTCCGGGACCCTGAGGAGGAGACTGAGGCCCAGCAGCCGTTTGACGATGCCTTAGAGCACCAGAAGCTCACAGTGGACGAATGGAAGCGTAAGAGCCGGGATCCAGCTCCTCCCTCTCTGCCTTCAGCCTGTCTCCTTGTTGTCATGCCTGGCTTCTGCTGGCCCCACCTGCCACCCGAGACTCCTGCCTGCTTCCCTCCAAGTGGCTATGATTTCCTGTGTGTCTTCTCTTTGGACTGATCTCCTGCTCCATGCGGGCTGTGGGCTGGGCTCCCTCCTAAGCATCCTCCCGCTCACCTGAAATCACCCTGTCTCTCCTAGAGCACATCTACAAGGAGATCGTGAACTTCAGCCCCATTGCCCGGAAGGACTCGCGGCGCCGGAGTGGCATGAGGCTGCAGTGACTCTTCCAGCCAGGCCCCTGGCTGAGCCAGGGGACTACCACGTGGCGCCACCAGCCAGACACTGCCCCAGAACCAATATTTAGTTGTCACTACTAAAGTCTCAACCCTTCACAGATTATATATAGCCTCTCAAGCAGAAGATAGAAATGCCTTCCCCAGACCTAGGCATGGGGCCAGATAGAATTTAGTGGTGTTGTTGGGGAGGAAATAGCTCTGATCAAAATGAGTTGCATTAAAATGCCTGTCTGGGGAATCACCTGAGTGTGGAGTCCTTTCCTTTCCAGCTGTAGGGGTGCTGAGAGGGTTGGGCTGAGTCGGACCACCCATCAATGGCCATGATGCTGTATCAGTTTCTTAGAGCTGCTGTAACAACCACCCACAAACTAGGAGGCGTAAAACAACAGAAATTTTATTCTGTCACAGTTCTGGAGGCCAGAAGTCCAAGATCAAGGTGTTGGTGAAGCCAACCTCTCTCAGAAGATTGTAGAAAACAATCCTTCCTTCCTTCTTTAGCTGCTGATGGCTCCGGGCATTCCTTGGCCTTTCTTTTTTTTTTTTTTTTAATATTTATTTAGTTAGTTAGTTAGTTACTTACTTAGTTTTCGGCGGACACAACATCTTTGTTTGTATGTGGTGCTGAGGATCGAACCCGGGCCGCACGCATGCCAGCAGAGCGCGCTACCACTTGAGCCACATCCCCAGCCCCTCCTTGGCCTTTCTTGGCCTGTAGCGGCATCACTCTACCCTCTCCAGTGTCCACATGGTCCTCTCTGTGCCTCCCTCTGTCTGTCCTCTGATATGGGGACACCAGTCATTTTCTAGGTCCACCCTAATCCAGCATGATCTCATCTCAATCCTGATTATGTCTGCAAAGACTATTCTCAAATACAGTCATATTCTGAGGCTCCAGGGGGATATGATTTTTTTTCTTTTTTTTTTTTTTTGGTGGGGGGACAGCATTCAACCCCCTCCTGGGTCCTGCGCTCAGGCCTTGTGCTCTGTGTAGAGCCAAATGTGTTTGGCTGCTAAAGGAAGAGTGTTGCAGAGGGAACTGCAGCTAGCGAGGCGTTGCATCCAGGTTATTTTGGGTGAACAAGAGGCGATTGGATAGGAAGCAGCAGCGGCTTGTTGACTGGGAGCTGTAGAAGGCAGAATGGGCTGCTGCTTGGCTTAAGACAAACCAAGCCGCTCCTTTCCCATTTAGGGAGATGGCCTGTCTCTCCAGAGCTTTAACCTGACAATGCCTAAGGTTCTTCTGTTCAGGTTTGAAAAACTTTAATAAATTCCCATTTGTACCACTCGTCAGGAGCCTGCTCTGGAGTTCCCGCCCTGGGCATGGTGGATCTCAAACATCCCCCTGCATCAGAAGAACGTGTTAAAATGCAGATTCCTGGGCCTAGCCCAGGGATACTGATTCAGCAGGCCTGGAGTTGAGACTCTAGAACACACATGTGAACGAGGACCCCTCATGTTGACTCAAGCCCAGTGGTTCTGATGGATGTCAGTCCACATTTAGAGAAGCTTCTAGCTGATCTCAGTACCACTTTGTCAGGAGGCCTGGGTGAGAAAGTGGAAGACACCGGTTCTGGGGGGTGGCGTGGGTCATATATGCTTCACTCTCGCTTCATGTTAAGACTGAGGTCAGATGGAGCAGTTTCAGGGCAGTGAAACTCTTCTGTGTCATCCTGCCACAGTGTATATGTGTTGTCTCTGTTAAACTTAGCACAATGCCCCTTTCAAATCAGCTATAAGCTTTGGTTGGTGACAATGTACTAGATTTGGTTCATCATTTGTAACAATTCACCACACTAGAGCAAGATGGTAATGATGGAAAACAATGTACCAGTGTTGGTTTATCATTTGTAACAATTTATCACACCAGTGCAACATGGGGGAACCCTTTGTACTTTCTACAAAACTAAAATGGCTCTAAAAATAAAGTTGATTAGTAAACAACAAAATCCCTGAGGCCCCAGAGAGATGAGGTCAGATACCAAGGGCTAGGAAGTGCTGGAGGCAGAATAAGAACCCAGGCAGGCTTGACTACTGTGCCAAAGGCCCCAGACAAATCTGGAATCCGGAGTTGCCTAGCCTCCCTCCCGTTGCCTGGCTCTCCAGCCCCTTCACTGCTGGCTGTGTCCATGGGCCATTCTTTCCCACGGAGAGGATGGTCATCAATACAGGACAAGTCCTTGGCCTGGACTGCCCATGTCCTGCCTTAGCTCTGGCCTTCCCGGTTACTAAGCTGACCCAGGTTCCATGAATCTAAACCCTTCTAAGTCTTCTTCTGAGATTCCTCATCAGCTCCAAGGAAAGGGTCCCACCTTTTCAGCCTGGCATTCACAGCCTCCAGCACCCTCTCTAACCTCACCAATCTCACTGCCTCCCATGGTCCTCATGCCAGTGTGGCCTGCTGCAGGACAACCAGTCCTGGGGTCCACCATAAAACTCAGCCCACACATTATCAGGTTAAAGGCTCTGACAAGTCCCAAAGAAATAGAGTTCTGTTCTAGTTTCTTTAATCCAGAGCTTCCCAAATGTGCTGAGCTGCAGGACCTCATCTTCTTCTGATAGTGCCACATACTCAGCCCTCTACTCAGTGCAGCCCAGCTCATAGGTCACCACACTGCGTCTCCCCAGCAGGCCTAGAGCCTGCACTTCCCTCTGCTTAGCACGCCTTCTACCCGGCTCGGTAACAGGGGTTCCTTTGATGCTTTGACTACACCCTTTGTGACTTTGAAACTTCCAGGCTGTTGTTGTTTTTCCTTTTCTCAATCTTCTTTTCCCTAAACTTCTCCTCCCTGATCTCCTCCCTGATCTCATTTTCTCTGTAAAAGCCCCCTGTTCTTGCTGATGGGCAGAATCACAGCCTTTGGGACAGGAGTCCCCTGTGTTTCTTCTTTGCTAGCAAAATAATAAACCGTCTTTTTTCCTTTTTCTCAAAACCATGTCCTGGTTATTGGATTGATATCAGGGACAAGGACCAAATTTTCGGCAACACCTCCACCCAGGGAAATCTTCACCCTCTGAGACTGTCTCAGGCCTCCCTCAGAGAACAGAGCTTCCTCATGCCCCAGGCCCTCTGTGAGCAGCATGTCCAGTGTGTGTGGTAGGCCTCCCCCCTCCAATGCCCACTCTAACCCCTGCTCGGAACCAATATCTGTGAATGCAAGAATGCATGGTGTCCCAGGGTCCTGTACATCATGTCTCTGTTCAATCAGACCAGTTGTGGTACTGAGAAACTGATGTGACTCCATTTTTTGGGAAACCAGCCTCTACCTCAGAGCAAAGCCTGTCCAAGGAAGGGGGCGTGACCCTTGTCCTTGGGAAAACCCACAGAGCACTCCTAGGCACATACCCACCCTGCTGAGGTGTTTATCTACAAATAACAGGAGAGATCTTCAAGTCAGGTGTCCCTGACTCAGTCAGGCTAGGTGAGGACCCATAGCAACCCCTCTAGCAACCTCCAATCAGCATGAGATAGGGAAAATACCTGGGATGCCAGATGACCCCCAAGTAGTTTATGGTGGTTGATAACATGTTGGGAAACCATGTAGTTTAGCATGTATACCCCTCGTGGCCTAAACCATTCAGTTCAAAGGAATCCCCCTCTTGTATTAACCAATTACCCCTACCCAACTTGTTCCCGCCAGTGAATGTGCTAATCAATGTTAAGAGTTGTTATTCGATTTTCCCGAAGTATGGAATGATTTGCTGTGTGATGTTGTGAAGCATAGAGTATCCCCCAAAACCTATAATATCTCACTGAACAAAGGACCAGGGCTCACTCCCTGGGACTGCTGTGTCGGAACGGTTGTGAGCCCAGGCTCGAGCTTGCAATAAAGACTCTTGTGTGATTGCATCGGATTCGGCTCCTGGAGGTCAATTGGGGTCCCACGAATCTGGCATTACAGTACCAGGGCGATACTGAAGACAGCAGAGAGTGTGACAGGAGGCAGAATTGGGTGACCCTGAAAGAAAGTCTCTCCCAAACTCCTGTCACCCCTCAGCATCCCTCCAGTCCATTCCTCACTCCAGGATTAAACTTTGGTCCCTTCCCTCACAGTTATCTCAAACCTGAGAAACTCTCCCCAAGGGGGGAGAAGGTGCTCACAACATGGAGGAGCTGGTGGGCTTGGGCCTTGCTCCCAGGGCACACGGCCAGCATGACAGGAAACAGGTGACTGGTGACTAGGGCAAAAGGGCTAAGCATGGGGGTGCTGAGGCTTCCCTGCTCTTGACTGGCAGCACCTCCTAGGACAGGAATCATGACCCAGGCCTGGGTGGATGAGGTGGGGCTTTGCCCTGTGGCTAAGGAGGTGGCTCAGAATGCAGAATACACAAGGAAACAAACACAGTGGCTGGGGACTTTCTATAGCAGCCCTCTACTCCCTCCTTTGTGAGCTGGAGGGTGTCCTTTCACAATAACAGCCCCTCTCCCAAGGCCACTGCGGCCTGGATCATCCTTGAGAGCAGTTTCAGCTGAGTTGTCCCAAGGCGGGGCCTGCCTAGTGTGAGGATCCAACGGGAACTGCTGGCCACGGTGAGCGGGTGGGTGTTGCCCCCAACTGCCTCCAGGACTGGAAATTGGCTTGAAAGGGGACAAGGCTGAATATTCTCCTGGCACATCGGAATGGCTTGTGGTCTACTCTAGCCAGGTACAGTGGCCCCGGTCCTGTATAGTGACACAAAAGGCTGAGGCAGAAGGATTGCAAGTTCGAGGTCAGCCTCAGCAGCTTAGTGAGGCCCTGAGCAACTTAGGGAGACCCTGTCTCAAAATAAAACATAAAAAGGGCTGGGGATGTGGCCCAGTGGTAAAGTGGTTCAGTCCCCAGTACCAGAAAAAAAGAAATGGCTGTGCCCTCTACCAGGCTGTGGGGCCTGGGCTGTGCTTCAACCCAGCAGGGGAAGGAGGACTCTTGCCAGCCTTTCTCCCCTCTCATGGCTTCCATATCCTTCCATTCAGTGGGAAAAAATTCCCTGGGACATGCCCTTCCTCATCCCCAGTGAGCTCTGCTCCGTCCTCGGTCCCCCTAAATCCCCTGAGAGGAGGATGGGGATTTCCAGATTTTCCCATTGGCAGTCATAGCCCAACGTCACTCAGTCCAGCTGAATATCCAGTGAGTTGTCACAGTCCTGGTCACTCCCAGGCCCTTGGTGGGGAGTTGAAGAACAGGGATGGTGCCACCTGAGCAGCTGCTCTCACTCTGGGCCAGGTCATAGCTGAGTGGCAATAGGGATTCTCTCGGCCACGGGCTCTTGACCTTTCTTTGTGCCATGGATCCCCTTCTCAAAACAATATTTTTAAATGCATGAAATACGTAGGATGACAAAGAAAGTTGTACTGAGATCCAGTTATCAAAAAAGTTTCAAAAATTTTTTTTTTGTGGGATGTGATAATTCGTGGGTTTCTTTATTAGCACATCTAATTATAAGAGCTAGTGGTGGGCCTACTCACTACTATAAATCTGAAGTAGAGATGAATCTAAATGATGCTTTGGGACACCTACAGCTTTACAGGGATAGGAGAAGCTCTGTGATTTCTACTGGTGCTGCTAATATGACTAGAGTTTTCTAACTTCATTCCTAATGGAGAAAAGCGGGGTGAGTGGAAATAAAGTGGTGATATTTTTCGATCCGAGTTCATGGGCCTTGCGTTTTATGGTTCATGAATTCCAGATAAGAAGTCCTGGTCTAGATATTAAAACCTGGTCTTAGTCTTTTCTGCTATTCCTTAACATTCCAGATAAGAACACCTGTTCTAGGTATTAAAATGTGACCTTAGGTATTCTCTGTTAATCCTTAACAACACCTGACCCCTCCCTTTGTATGATAGGAGCAGGTAGGAAATGTGCTACTCTGCCCCAGGGTGCCTGCAACTCTGCCCCATTCCCTGAGCTTGGGACCTCTAACCAGGTGGGGATCAGTCTGCCTGGGGCATTTTTTTAAAATGGAATTTCAGAAGTTTTCTTTGTCTAGTTTGCAACATGGTTAGCATGCTGCTGCCCTAAAGTACTTCCTATGAAGGCCCAGAGTAGGGACTGGGACCAGGCCCCTGTGTCTACCACCATGATGTTCTTCCCATGACATGGGGCATGGTTGCTTTCTTTTCTTTTCTTTCCTTTTCTGTCTTTCTTTCTTTTTTTTTTTTTTGGTACTGGAGATTGAACTCAAAAACATTCTACCTCTGAGTTATATGCCAGCCCTTTTTTATTTCTATCTTGAGACAGGGTCTCACTAAGTTGCGTCTGGCCTTGACATTTTGATCCTGCTTCCTGAGGCATTAGATGACAAGTAACATGATCGCTTATTAAGGTTAATTTATGTTATTATTTTTTTCTTTCTGCATTACTGCCTGTCCTCCCAACCACCATAGGCACAAAAGTGCCACCAGACCTTGGGACAGACTCATGTTAAGAGGTCAAGAGAAGAAGTTGCCAGCAAGATACTTATTCTGGGCTGGGATTGTGGCTCTGCGGTAGAGCACTCACCTAGCATGTGTGAAGCAGTGGGTTTGATCCTCAGCACCACATAAAAATAAATAAAACATAGGGAATTGTGTTCAACTACAACTAAAAAAGTAAATTAAAAAGAAAAAAAAACCTGTTCCTCTGTTTTCTTAAATGTCTTACTAGTGAGAATGTTTTGCCTGGACTCCAGGACAGGGAAAGGTTGGGGTGAAGGAGAGAAGTGCTTTTGAAAAGCACCGTGGCTTAGAGAGGAGGTTTCTCCTGAGAGAAGAAGAACGAGGCCCATAAGTGCCTGGTTCATTTGGGACTCTGCCCAGCTCCCTGTCAGCGAAGTCCAGGAAGAGGCCACTGGGTGCACTCAGGGAGGCTGGAGCCAAAACTCAGGCTTCCTGGTCTTGGCTGAAACTCCTGTGTCCTAGGTGGGGGCCTGGGGCAGCAGCACCCTGCACCAAAAAAGCCCTGTGGACCTTCACTGTGGTCTTCTTTGACAGTTTGTCTCCTACCATCAGCTCCTGTCCTGTCCTGCTTAAGGAACCCACATTTGGTTCAGGCTGCAGCTTGCTTGGGAAGGTGGGCCTTCCCTCCAGCTCCAGGGGGCATCCCAGGATGCTCTAAACCAAGGGGTGATTATTTTTTTTCTTTGCTAGTGATTGATTGAGGATTCACTTCCAGACAGAAGGACTTGGGAGAAGTCGAGGAAAGCGGGGACTCTTCCTCTTCCCCTCTGAATCACCCTGTCTTCCTGACATCTCCTCTTCGTCCTCCTCAGCAGTTCTGTTCTTAGCTCACCACGTCTCCTCCACCAAGGAAGGATTCCCATACTGGTTCTTCACCACTGCCCAGCTGTCTTAAGAGAAGATTCTGTGTTCTTCTCTCTGATTGCTCCCCCTGGCTCCTGAGCAAACACCTCACATTTGCCCTCAGTCTTTACCCTGCTTCTACCAAGACTCTCTACCTTCTCCAACAGTGTCTGCAGGACATCTTCAGGCCCTGCAACCAACCCTTTGCCAGGGAGCCCCTCTGCCATATCCTAGTGCCCTTCGGCTCTATTTCTCCAATTCCCACCACTGGCCTAACCTCCTCCCACTGCTGATCCGACTCAGAGAGGGAGGCCCTCAGCCCACTGCATCTCCTTCTTCACCTGCCTAGCCCAGATCTGCCTTCGTTGGTTTTCTGCAGACTCCCACCCTGCGCCACCCCATCTCTTCCCACTTAATGTTCCTAAATAACCTGCCCAGACCAGCTCCCAATGGACCCTAACCTGGTCCCTGCGCCCTTCACCTTTGGGCTACTCAGATGGGCTATTTTGCTGGCCTCTGCCTGCTCCACCTTGCTCCCCTGTTCACCTATGTCTTCAGGAGCCCTGCGTGGGAATGCCCACACGTCCAGGCCCCTCTGTGCCAGCACCACTGCAGAGATTCTTCCCTCTGGGGTCTCCCTTTTCTTACCTGTTCTGTTGCCAGATTATTCTTCCTAATGCTACAGAGACATCTCATTCCCCCTGCTTAAAAGCCAGAGGCAGCTCCATCCTGCCTACAGGACCAAGGGCCTCCCCCTGCCCATCCAGGTCAGGGTTAGTCTGTGCAGTCAGAACACAACCTGCTCCTGCCTGCTCTGGATCTGCAGCCTCTTGGGGAGGGTCTGAGGTAACAGCAGATTGTGCCCTTAAAAGCATGGGCTTTGTATCCAAAGAGACCTGGGGTTGTGTCCTGAGTTTGTCATTTATTAGCTACATGTATCAATTGGAGTCCTTCTGAGAAAAAGAACCAACAGGAAATGTATAGAACCTGTGAATCCATCTAGCCATCCATCCATCCACCTACCTATCAATCAATCAATCAATCATCTTTCTATCTGTATTTAATCTCTATCTACTATTTATCAAGAGATATTTATTGTAGGGAAGTGTCTCACATGATAATGGGGGCATTAGCAAGTTTGAAATTCCTCGGGCAGGTCAGGCAGCCTGGAAACCCAGGCCCTGTTTGTTGCTGTCTTGAGTCAGAATCCCTTCTTCTCCTGGAGCCTCAACTTTTATTTTAAAGCTTTACCTGATTGCATGAGGCCCACCCACATTAGGGCAGGTAACCTGCTCTATTCACAGCCAACTGGCTGTAAATGTTAATCTCATCTGCAACATTTCCTCAGAGCCACATCTAGAAGATTATATAACCAAAGAGTCAGGCACAGGGCATAGCCAAGTTGAAACAGAAGTAACTATCACACCATTGTTTAAGAGGCAGGGAATTTTACTCCCCTAAGCAAATTTCCTTCTCCACAATAGAATCTTAGAGAAGCTGAGGCCATAGGACTAGTGAGGATTAAGGGCACACAGAGTGCACAGTCAATGTTAGCTGTTCTACTGTTGATGTGTTTGCGGTAGTAAGTGCTTCAAAACACTGTGGACAAGACAATGCTCTTGGGAATACCAGAAAGGGCTGCTGTTCCCAAGCCTGTGCTTGACCTGCCTAGGTACAGTACCAACCCACAGAGGAGACCCAGCCTTATTCCCATCTAAGGCCCCATCCCAATAGGCTGGTCCAGAACCTTTAGTTCATGTGAAAATTTTCAAAGTAGAAACTCTTCCAGAATTCTTCACTGTTCTTTCTTGTGAGGAGAAGAAGAAAGTCTCTCCATTGGTTCTCTTCATCTTTGAGATAGTTCGGGCCTTGGAACAGTATGTCAGGAAGAATTGCATTTCACCTCTTCACCAGTCATTTCGTGTTTCATAAGAGAAGGATATTCATGCCAGTAAGCAACAAGTGGGAAACCAGATGATAGTTTTGTCCTTGGAGATCAGGAAAACAAGCTGAGATGGCTACATTGTGAAATGCTGTTACATCCAGAGAGAGTAACTGTTCTTAATGGAGTATCTCTATCTCTTGTCTCCCTTCCCCCTCCTGTCCCTCCTCCTCCTCCTCCCCCCACTCCTCTGTCACCTCCTCCTCCTCCCTTCATCTCTTCTTTAAATCCATTGTTGCTCACTGTCTGACTACCTCTATTGTGCTCAGCCTAAGCATCAATTTAAAAAAAATAGGTGCACTGGGATATGGGTCCGTCTGCTTCGCCCTGAGATCTTTCCATAGTTTCTACCCAACTCACTGGAACGTGACCAGGAGTCCACCTGCTGCTCCTGTTTCCTGTCCTCTTTCACAGTGAAATACCCCTACAGTCCTCTCTTAGAACTGGCAATAAGGAGGAGTACTGGTCAAGTCTTTTGTAGAATATCCCTCACTTTGGGGTTTATCTGCTATTTTTCTCATGATGGGACTGCTGTAATGTGTTTTAAGGAGAAAGACCACGGGGATAGTGTTACTCTGATTAAACCCTTTCAAGTTTACATGCTCTCGATATGTTTTGTCACTGCTGATGTTGGCCTCCATCACCTGGCTCAGTAGTGCTTGCTCATTTGTTCCACCGTAAAGTTATTTTCTTTCCCTTTCCATACTAGTCTTCAGAAATAAGGCAGTAATCCCAGCCCACACTTGCAGAGGAGGTTTACTGTTGACTTCCTTGAGGAAGAAACAACGACATAAATTATTTGGAGACCTTCTGAATGGGGGAGATTTTTTTTCCCAACTATTTATATCTATGGACTCATGAATGTTTATTTTATACTTTGGTTTTATAGCCCTATAAATAACCTGATAAAAATAGAAATAAGCAATGATAAATAAATAATGAAAAGCTTTCCCTTTTGACTTGATTCATAGTTTTCTTTCATGGGAGTGGTGCATATTCCCTGAAGGGACCTGCAGATACCGCCTGCCACCAGATTGTCTACTCATCCATTGGGATGATAAGGGGAGTCCTGCGGTGGTGGAGACATTTTTGTACTTCCTCCATTTGGGTGCTAATCCATCTACAAAGTCCAGGTGGGATGAGTATCCCCTCTCACCTGTTTCTCCTTTGTTGATTCTTTCCGTCTCTTCCATCCCTGGGCCTCTGGTGAGGGATGTGAGGGATCTTCATTCTCTCTGCATAAAATAAGAAAACTAAGTATAATAAACATCTTTCATAGCCAATACTGCTTTCTTTTTCTTTTTTCTTTTCTTTTTTATGTTTTCTAGGTGCTCTCTTCTGGGTACTTTAAGTATATCAATCATTCTTCATTTTCACATAACTGTGAGGTAATTATCATTCCAATTTTACAGGTATGAAAACTGAGTCTCTGGGAGTTTAGAATTTTCCCCTACGTGACTTTTCCCTTCGAAGTCTCCTCCACCAGTTCTTCTTCTCCTCTCCCTCCTAATGTTGGAGTGCCCCATTATTCTATCCTTGGTTGCCTTTTCTATTTATGCTCTTCTTTTAGGGCTTCTTCTCTCGTGGTTTAAATACCATCTCTCTGTTGATGAATATAAATGTGGGGCTCTACCCCCGGATCCTCCCGTGAAATCTCTACCTGTCTACACCTTCGCTTCAGTGTTTCACAAAAGTTGGATCTTCTGCTTCCAGCGGTGAGAGAGGAGCTGGTGTGGTGTTATAATCACTGTCAACCCTGAACAAAACAAAAAAACACAATTATCTGAAGGCACTTCAGTGATCCCAAGCAGGCAGAGGAGAGTTATAATCACTGAAAGAAGAGAGCCACAGTCAGGTAAGGTTGGTGATTGAAAGGATTTTGCTTGAGGGCACTCTCCAGAAGTAGTAGCACAGGATGGCCAGATTTCAAGTATAAAGCTGCAAGTCTTACTGGTTTGACAAGTCAGAGAAGTGGGTTTGGAAAGGAAATCCAAGAAAGGAAGAAGCCACCGAGGCTTCTTAAAAGTGCATATAAAATTTGGACAAATCCTTGGCTGACTCCTGACCTATGAATGAGTAGGGGATTCCACAGCCAGTCCAGCAGGAAGAAAACAGAATGAAACCAAAAAACAAAAAACAAAAAAGAAGAAAGAAAAAAGTGGAAGATGAAAGAACTGAACAGAAAGCTTAGTGGCTGCCCATACCAGGGGACACAGAAATTTTATGCCTGCCAAGTTAATTTCCTGGAAATAAGACTCTTTAGAGAAAGATAATAAAATCCAGATTCTCTACACTGTGTTATCTATTATGTCCAGTATAAAAATTTGTTTTTAAAAATTATTCTGCAGAAAAATCGAGGTGGCCTATTGCACAATTCTAGCGCCCACCTAGCTCTCACCCCATCTCCCCTGAGTTGGCCATTTTATCCTCAACCCTAAGACCATGTGGTCTTCTCAGTGCTGTGCCAGCCCCAGACTCCTTCCAACTTTTGTAGTTAGAGCTCTCCTTCTCCTTCTCCTTCTCCTCCTCCTCCTCCTCCTCCTCCTTCTCCTCCTCCTCCTCCTCCTCCTCCTTCTCCTTCTTCTTCGAAAACCCAGAAAAATTATTCCTGTTCAAGGGGGAAAGGATCTTTGGTTCCCTTCTCACTATGTTCTCAGCAGTGAATAATATTTTTTTTAAATGGCTAAACTTGCCAACAAGAAGGAAAATGTGACCCATAATAATAAAAAAAAGCAGTCATTTGAAATCTTTCCCAAAATACTTCATATATTAGAATCAGTAGGCAGAGATTTCAGAGTAGATACCGATAGGTATGTTCAAGGATTTAAAAGAAACTATAGTCATAATGAAGGAACAGATGGGCAACTTCAATGGAGAACTGGAAACTATAAGAAAGAACCAAACAGCAATTCTCACTAGATAAGTTGAATAGAATATTGAAAATGAAAGAGGAAAGAGTGAACTTGAATACAAAGCAATAAAATTAAAACTACCTGAATAGCAGAGAGGAAAAATAGTTGAAAAATATGCATATCTTCAGTGAATTGTAGAATAATGTCAAGTCACCTAACATATATTTAATTCCTAAAAGGGACCAGGAGGTACTGCCTGACACCAGATAAGAGATCTAAAGGATCTGAAAGGCTAAGAGATAGATAATGGGATAGAAAAATATTTTAAGTATATCTATTATTATTATTATTTTTTGTGGTCTGGGTATTGAACCCAGGGCTTTGTGCATGCAAGGCAAGCATTCTACAAACTATATTCCCAGCCCTGAAATCTTTTACCTAGAGCAAATATAATAAAATAATGCAAAAGAAAAATTAAAATAGAAATAATTATAGAAATATCCAATTAACTCAGATGAAGGCAAGAAAGGGAAAAAATATATATGTTATTATACATAAATATGTATAATATATACATAATAAATTGAATAAAGAGAAAGCAGAAAATGGAAGACCTAAATCCAACAATATTCATAGTTATATTAAATATAAATGGCTTAAATACTTTCAAGTAAGGACTGAGATTGCTATAGAGGGTATATAAAAGTAAGGCATGACCTTTTGCTGTTCATATGAGAAGCACTTTAAATAAGGCATGGATAGATTAAAATAAAAAGACTGAAAAATCATGTTCTATGCAAACAGTAAGCATAAGATAGCTTGAGTGATAACAGTACATTCCACAAAAAATATTTCAGGACTTGAAGTGTTATTGAGATAAAGAAGTATATTCATAAGATAAAAGGATTGATTTTCATCAGGAAGACAACAATCATAAATGTGCATGAACCTAATACCAGAGCTTCAAAATGTCTGAATACTGGTAGAAATAACAGTGAAGGAAAGTACATATATATCTATATCATTTTCTTACATTTTGTATTGTTAGTATCCTCTTTATGCCAAAGCCAATGTCTCGGCTTGGCACCAGAATCACGAGCCACCACACAGCTTTGTAGGTTCAAACATCAATTCTTTATTCCAGCTCTCACACCGCCTCTATACAGGTCCAGGGGCAATCTCGTTCTGCCGTCTACCCGCACAATTCACCTACTCCACGAGGCTCTCTCCAAATCCCATTTTAATCTCACGAGAACTCAACGGGAACAAGCAACAGGAACACCCTAATCCCAGCAATAATCTTCAACCTCTAACTTCCCTAAAACCCATTATCTTAAACTGGCAACGCCTAAAACTCAAGGAGCCGGTTACTTCCTCAAACCTGATCAGCTCTAAACCCGGATCCGCCTTGGTCCTTGAGCAAGGTCACCTTATTAAAGCATGCATGCAATGTCCCATCGAATGTCCTCTAAGCAGCATGGGGTACGCTTAGCAAGGAAATTTCGATGCGTCATTCCTACTTGGTAATGGCCCTCAGCATCTTTAATGTATTTATTTTGTTTATTCTGAACTCTCAGTTCATTCATTTTATTTCATCACCTTCTAATGGCATCTGTCATCCAGTTGCTTATGCGTTTTTTTAAATGTAGATTATTATTTTTTTAACCTTTATTTATTTATTTTTATGTGGTGCTGAGGACTGAACCCAGGGCCTCACATGTGCTAGGCGAGTGCTCTACCGCTGAGCCACAACCCTGCTGTTTTAAAGAGATTGTGCTCCTCAGCTGCCTCTTTAGCTTGGTCTGTGAACTTTTATCTCCTGGCTACTCTGTCCAATAGCAAGCCCTGGGGAAGGGTTAACACCAGATCTGGGTCTATATCACAATAATGAGTTGAAGGGTGTGAGCCTGAAGGGAGGGTTGTAATGGGGGAGAAGGAACACTAAGTCAGAGAGCCTGAGACATGAAATAAATCAGTGCCATCCACATTCAGATTGAGTTTTCGTCTCGACCCCTCAGGAGGAAGCACCTGAGACTGTGTAGCATCTCACTCTGCAACCCAGGGCTGCACTGCTGATGCCCCAGGCTCAAACCAGCCCCATGCAGTGTTAACAAGAAGAGTTGATAGTGGGCAACTGTGCCTTGTTTCAGAAGAGGTTCTCCTAAAATGCTCCTCTATGTGTGAATGTTTGCTGGGTTTGAGTGAATGACCTTTATCAAGTTAAGGAAATGGTTTTCTCCCCTAATTTTCTGGTTTTTAAAAAAATTACAGGTGACTGTTAAATTATATTAAATGTGGTCTCTGTAAAGATGATTTTTTGTTGTTTTCCTTCCTTAAATCTATTAATACAATGAATACGTTAAATAGATTTTCTAATCCTTACATTCCCATGATAAACTCTCCTTGGTCATAATTAACACACACACACACACACACACACACATTTATAAGTGACTTGAATGTGCCATTTTCCTTCCCCATACTGATTTCAGTTGATTAATTCTAAAAAAAAAAAAAAAGGTATATTATGTCTATAACATGATTTTGGAAGCTCTCTTTCTTACCTGGAAGAGTTTATATGTTTGTGCAATAATGAAACGATATGTTCTTTACATGAGTAGAATAAGAGGTTATTAAACCAAGAAGGATTGGTTTAATAATGCAGAATGGCCTATTAATCCAGAAAGGATTACTATTAAACTATTTAGGCTGTGTGTGTGTTTCGATTTTCAGTTAATTTTCTTGGTTATTGGTCTGTTTAAATTTTCCATTAATTTTGTATACTCCACTAGGAATACTTTTGGCAGTGAGAACCCAAAGCCTAATGTTGATCTAAGCAGAGTCCTCCCCCTCGCTCCCACCAACCCGGCAGCACTCCAATGCACACCACTATCAGGAATCCAGAGGGATGCTCCAAGGCTGGTGCAGATAAGCAGGGACACAGGATACTTCAGTCTTTTCACTTTGCTATCTTCAGGCATTAGCTTGTCACTTTGTGGTCAGAGTTGGCCGCCATCACCCCAGGGACCCCATGCATCAAAACAGAAAAGATTTGGGAAGCTTTGTCTTTTCAGCAGTGTCAGAATTGGGAGCCACCTCTCCTAAGACTGATGTGTACCTGGTATAAATAAAAAAATAAGAATAAATCAGAGTTCTCTTGGAGTGTTCACATTAAAAAAAAATGGTTATTAGGGCTGGGCTTGTGGCTCTGTGGTAGAGCACTTGCCCAGCATGTGTGAAGCACTGTGTTCGATTCTCAGCACCACATATAAATGAATGAATAAAATAAAGGTTTATCAACATCTTTAAAAAAATAAAAGAAATTTTTAAAAAACATGGATGTTGAAGAAATAAAGACTGTCAATTGGTTTTGGTTAATTGCCGTTTGTAGGCAATTTGATTGATTGATTGATTTAGATGTACTAGCATAAATATTCTTATAGTTTTGGCTTAAGATTTTTAAAAAATCTCTGCTCTGTCTCTAGTTATGTCTCATTCATCTTTTCTAACCTCATTCTTGGGGGGTCTTTCTCTTAATGAATTTTGTCAGAAGATTTTTTTTAAGTCCTTTAAATCAACATTTGTTTCTATGGATACCTTCTACTGTATATTTATTTCTTGTTTTCTTTTTAAAAATTATTTTCTGCTTTTAGATTTGTTCTTTTTAAGGTTTATTCTACTGTATTTTTTCCAGCTTCTTAAAGTGGATGCTTAGCTCATTATTTTTCAGTTTTTCTCCTTTTCTGTTACAATTGGCCCTCCTTATCAGTGTGTTCTATACCCACAGATTCAACCAAACATTGATCAAAAATAGTCAGAAAAAACTTACAACTGTACTGAACATTTGCAGACTTTTTCTTTCAAGTATGCCATAAAGAATATAGTGTAATAATAATTTACATGA